CATGGAACGAGGCTGGCCACTGCATTCCAGGGACAAGGATAAGCTGGCACATTTCATCAGCATGCGAACTGCTCTTTACGAGTCGACTCGCATCATCCTCTCGGGTAGTGCTCATGTTTAAAGTCACTGCACCTTGCTCAACCAACCTGCAAATCAACTCTGTCCGCGAATACAAAAACTGAGTTAGAACGTCTAGCTGCAGGTCGAGCACAAGCTCCCAAGCTCCGCGTGAGACTCTTGCATGCTTGTCGTCACGCCTCTTAAAGGAGGGATTGCCGAAAATCCACATGCAGGCAATCTCATCTTGGCTGCGGTACTGTGCTTTATACCTGGACAGTGGCACATGACAAAATTGAGGGTTTAGGGCTTTCAGGTTTACTGTAGGTTGTAGGGCTTCAGGTTTAGGGTTCGGGGCTTTCGGATTTCGGGCTTACAAAACCCCCAACTCCCCAAACCCTTAACACTATGGGTTTCAGGTTCGGGGATCATCAAGACTCGCGGACCCCAACCCGAAAGCACAGAACCTAAAGCCTGAAACACGAAACCATTGACCCCGGAAAACATGCCCACAAAATATAATTAGGAACCTGTGAAGCACGGTTCTTAGAACCCCTGGCTTGGAGAAAAAAATAAATATCCCCTGAACCCTAAACTCCAAGCCCTAAGCCCGAAACCCCAAACCCTCAGTTCAAAACCCTAAGCCCTTTCTTTCATACTGTTCTCGGAACCCTTCGAGGAGCCCTGAACCGAAAACGCCACTTCAGGAGGGAGCCCGGACGTTTTCCTTAAACCTTAAACCCAAAGCCAGTCTAAGGTTGTGGTAGGTGTGTTCGACGAAGTTTCGACGAAGGCTGTTGGGACTTTCAGGGTTTTGGCGCCTGCAGGGCTGTAAGGGTTTTGATCGAGGTTCTGTCAAAGTCCGATTCTCGGCTTTTCGGGGCTTCTTTGGCGCTGTTGGAGCTGTCAGGGATCAGGATTTAGGGCTTTGAGGGTTGCCGTTTCGGCTCAGAATCAGAACATGTTTGAGCTTTAGGCGTTCTAGGGGTTTCGGGCTTTGAGGGTGTGGGGTATCGGGCTTGGGACTGGAGCAATTATGGGATGCAGAGGCCTGGAGTTCGATCGAGTGGAGCTGGCCATGGTAACTGTCCCCTTCAATCCTAAAAGCTGAAGCCCCAAACCCTCTCAGTATAGCTGTGCACTTCAGGGGTTTAGGGTTTGTGTAATCCAAGCATGATAAAGAGGTTAGCCTTTCCTTGGCCAGGGAACTCGACAACTAGGCAAGCGTGAACTTCTAAAGTCTCAGAACCCCGAACCCCAGAGCTCAAAGCCTAAACCCAAACCCCTGATGCCTAATTTTGTCAGTCAATCGATGAGTCAGTCAGACGCAACGGCCCTTCCTAAGGTCCGGACACGCCAGCCTGCAAAGCCGGAAGTGGCGTTTTGGGCTCAGGGATCCTTGTGGGGTTCCCGTATAATGCTTAGGGTTTTGTGCTTTGGGTGTGGGGCGTCGGGCGTAGGGTGTAGAGTCTGGGGATTAGGGTTCAGGCGATGTGTTCTACTCATCAACCTAAAGTGTTCTATGAAGGTTCTGTAGGGGCTTGCGGCTTAGGGTTTAGGGTTCGGGGGTTTAGGTCGTTGGCATTGTCGTTGGTGTTTTTGCTGTTGTTGTTGTTGTTGTTGGTGGTGGTGGTGGTGGTGGTGGTGGTGGTGCTTATGATGATTCTGATGATAATGACGTTGCTGTTCTTGCTTGTTCACGCAGAAGATAACGATGGCGATGACGACAGCTATGAGTGGCTTTTATTGTCAGATTATGATACGAATGACAATGGCAATGTTGATCCCTGATGCTCCTGTTATCCTGTTACTTGTCCGACGTTCCCACTACGAGAGTCTCACGTTTTGTGGTTTCCCAAACAAAACTTTGAACATGAATGCAAATCTCAAACAAAAAAGGAAGGAACCCGACGGTATTTGCGACGCTTCCGGCGCTCTGAGATTCAGGATGTTTCGATTTGCCTGATAAACGGTTGACCTGTTGCTCTTAAGCCTGTGGATCTAAAGTGAGGAGCTTGAACCACAGTTACCGTAATTTAGTGGCAGTTGCTGCTATTCAGGGTTTACGGCTGGGTCCCTAAAAGAACCCGCATCCTTCAACCCTGCGCTCTAAAAACGCCCGTCTGGCTACTGGCACTATAATATAATATAATATAATACAATATAATACAATATAATATAATGAAATATACTATACTATAATATAATATAATACAATATAATATACTATAATATAATATGATATAATAAAATATAATATGATATAATAAAATATAATATGATATAATATAATATAATATAAGATAATATGAAATAATATAATATCATATGATAGAGTATGATATATTATGATACAATATAATATAATATGATATAATATAATAAAATATAATGTAATATAATATAAGAAAATAAAATAAAATATAATAAAACATAATATAATAAAACATGATATAATATAATATAATATAATAAAAGATAAAATAATGTAAGAAAATATAAAATAAGATAACATCATATAAGATAACATACTATAATATAACATAAGATAACATAATATAGTAAAAAATAGCATAATATATAGAATAAACTAAGAATAGCAAATATAATATAAATAACATAATAAATATATATTATGATAACGATAACATAAAATAGCATAACATATATACTATAACATGACATAATTGATATAACATAACATAATAATATAAGACTACAATTAATATAATATAAGATACATATATACTATAAGATAACATAATATACAATAAGATAACATAATATATATAAGATAAATAAACATAAGAGAGAAATAATATATATCATATGATAATATAACAATGACATGATATAATATAATATGACAATGATTAAATGATATAATATGACACTATATAGAAATATCGACATGGTATAATATATATGACATGATATAATATATATGAGATGAATATAATATGGGTTAAATACTATATAATTGATAACATGATATAAATAAATGAACATGATATATTATAATATAACATGATATCAAATATATATAAAACATTTGATAAGAATACTATAATATACTATAATATAATATAATACTATGATATGATATATTATTAATATAATATAATACATTATATATTACAATCAACATAATATAATAACAATAATATAATATAAAAATATAATAATATAAATATAATATAATATAAATAATATCATAATATAATATATCATAAATAAAACATAGATATGAAATAATAATAATAACCAATATGATATAATAATATTATTAGATATATGATTATATAATATAATATACTATAATATGATATAATAACATAAAATAAAATATAGATATAATATAATATAATATAATATTATACACTATAATATAATAAATATAATATAATAATAATAATATAATATAATATAATATAATATAATATAATCCAATACAGGAAAAAATATAATAAACATAATATAATATAAACTAAAATATGAGATAATATTAATATAATATGAATATAATATAATACAATATCTAGTAAAATATATAAAACAGAATAACCATACATATAATAAAACATAAATAATATAACTATCATGATATACATAATATATAAAACATAATATGATATAACATGTATAAGATAAATATATAACATAATATTAATAGACGTATATTATATATAATATAATATAAACGATAAAATATGGTAATTCAATATTGCATATAACATAATATAATATAATATAATATAATATAATATAACACAATACAGGAAAAAATATAATAAAACATAATATAATATAACATATCATGATATAACATAATATGATATAACATAGTATAATATAACATAATATAATATAACATAATATAATATAATATATTATAATATAATATAATATAATACGATAAAATATGGTACGATATGATATAATATAATTTGATATAATATAATATCATAAAATAAAATAAAATAAAATATAACATAATATAATATCATATCATATAATATCATATCATATAATTTAATATCATATAATATCATATATTATCATATAATATCATATAACATCATATAATATCATATAACATCATATAATATCATATCATATCATACCATAGAATAGAATAGAACAGAAGAGAAGAGAAGAGAAGAGAAGAGAAGAGAAGAGAATAGAATATAATGCAATGTGTATATATACATATATGCATACATACATACATAGACATAGACATAGACATAGACATAGACATAGACATAGACAACATACATACATATAGATAGATAGATAGATAGATAGCCACAAAGGTGGTCACCTTCATCTCTAGTTTTGTGATGCTTCGTGAAGAAAGCTATGAAATTTAAGATTACAGCTTCTTTGCACGTGCATGTCTCACAAGGTCGTGGGACTGCCTGGGAGACTTGGGAGAGCCCCAGCCCTCTCTCTTTGGCTTCTGCGATGGGACAAAACAATCCAACCTGGGGTTCCCATGAAGTTGTACGCGAAGAGCTCGTAGTAGCCCGCGAATGCCACGATCTGCGCCCAGCCTTCACCAGGCACCTCGGATCTCGGATATGGCGGTCTTTGAATCTCGGTGCAATGAGGATCCTACGATGTGGGGTCTAAACAATCTGGTGCGACAAGCGTCAATGTTGAAGCTTGGCACCAAATGCCTGAACCTCAAATGTCGTGAATTTAAACCAAGTAAACCCCAAGCCCGCAGCCCCAAGTCCAGCACCTTGGTGATGGCAGCCAGGCCGTCTGGAACGTCCGAGAACTTCAGGCCCAAGGAGGGAGACAGGAAGCCTTCACAGGGACTGTTTCTCTTCGAGTCAAGAACAAACAAGATGCACATGACTCGCACCCCTGCAATACCTCTCATCCGGAGACACTTAGCTTTACCATAAACCAGAAATATCTTTCCTGATAAAATGCCCGCATGACAGCCAGCATCCCTTCAACAAATTCCAATCCCTCAAACCAAAACCCAAACCCCTAATCTGCGCGCCGAAGTCCGACGCCGACAATGCCGAGCGCCACGCCGGACCGCTTGAAATACTCCGGAACGATGTACCCTCGGGAAGTTAGGCTGGAGGGCTTCTCGGTCCCTCGGACATACCGTTCTTTGACAAAGGTCACCCTATCCCAAACCCAAATCCAAAGCTTTAGACCTGAAGCAAGCCCTGACCAAACAGCCGTTTGCAGGCAGGCAGCCGAGCGTGGCATTCATCACGACGCGCCCGTGCCTAGCGTGGCTTGATGTTGCAATGGTTTAAGTCGATGGAGTATAGTGTGTTGAATCATTTTCTTAACGCTACAACTCTGGTCTTACTCAATATTGAAGCTCCTAACTAACCAAAAATCGTCAACCCCTAGACTCAAAACCTCGAAGCCCCAAACCCAAAAACCTCTAGAAACCCTTTGCAGCCGCAGTGCTTGATCTCCGTGAAGGTCTCCATGCTTCCTTGCAGAGAAAAGCTGTTTGGCGGTGATGCTTCTCGCATGCTGGTTTCTCAGGATCGTGGTTAGGGCATTGGAACAACTTTCGCACCGGGGCTGTTGGGGTGTGCCTCGAGTTCCTCTTGTGCCCGAAGAAATAGCTCCCTGCCGAGTCGCCATCGCGCATGCAAAAGACCGGATCCTCGGATGTCCATGCACTCGGAGATTTCCGGACATCAGCATGCAAGACCTAGCTGGGTCTTCGGGTTTCTGGCGGGATGACCGTTCAGGAGCTGTGGTTGAACAGTCTCCGCTTCCAGGTCGCCCGCGACTTGGGGGCTGCGACAGGCCCGTCTACTATGATTTACTAAAGTGCGCCTATTCATCCCTGCCTAGAACCTTTAGAACCAACAATGTGTCATGTTACATGTTACACACCCTAAAATCCAACAAGCAGGAAAAGAGAGCCGGCCAGGGAGCCCAGAAGTCCACAGGAGTCCGGATACTCAGCTCCTCCTGTTGCGGTTGAGGGTTCTAAGCTTTAGGGCTTTCGGGCTCAAGGGCTTTAGTCAGCGCTTTGCCGTTTAGGGTTTATAGGATCAAGGGCTTGTGCGGTTCAGTATTTAAGGCATTTAAGCCTTATGAGATTTGGGTGGCCTGCAGGTTGGCCGCCAAAGCTTGATAAGAGACCCCACAACAAACCAGGTTCTGGGGTCCTGGGTGTCGGATGTGGAGTGGTCTTCGAGTTGAGGCACCGTGAAGCTTATGAAGCCTATGATTCAGGGTTAAGGGTGCATGCTCCATCGGGATTTATCTCCCATGGCCTCGAAGGAGCGCGGAGGCGAGCCGGTGCACCTCTGTCCCAACCAAGTCTCTCGCTTCCGGTTTTGCGGGTTCGGACTAGTTCTCGAGCTTGGGATCTCATGGGCAAAGCAGGGATGATGCCGAAACTCTGCAAAAGCTTCCAACTAAACAAGTGCGAACTGCGTTGAACTGTACTTGCCCTTGGTCTGCAAGCACAGCGGGGGCGGCGGAGGAACTCCGCCAGGTAGAACATTCGGACGCCCTTCGAGACGTAAACAAGTGCCAAAGTCCAAGCGGCAAGGGCCAGTCGCCCCAGCCGGAGCCAGTAAGGCCGTCCTCGAGAGTCTGCGAAATCCGGCGAAGGAGCACCTAGACCTCACATTCATGAAGATCACTGGACCCACTGTCGATGAAAAACCGAGCCTTGAGATCCAAAGTCACTAGGCTTTCCGAAAGCGGCTGCTTCTGTTCCAAGAATCCCCTGCGAAACCGACTGTAAACTGCACCTCGCCATAAACAATAACCTTTACGACCGGATTATGTTCGTCACAAGGTGTCGTGATACGAAGCCTGAAACATAAGTTCACTTGTGTCATATCTGTCAACCTTCCAACCCTTCAACAATCACAGCATCTTCGGTCCTTGAGGAACATCCCAATGATGGCAAACATGGCCAGGCGGCCGTCGGCCAACCTCAGGCAGGTAAAAGAAATTGCTCGAATACTGATGCAGGTGTCATGGTGATTACTATCACTTCGACTATCATCATCACAACTATAGCCATGACTGCCACAACCTGCCCCAGCACCCGCACCAGCATCTATGTCTATATGGTCTTCATCAGCAGCATCATCAGCAGCAGCAACATCATTAACTCATCGGTCTGGTGCCTATCTGTCTGTCATCTCAGTCAAAGGTTGGGGTAAGCTATAGAGCCTGATCTATCTGTGTGCCTACTTACCGACCTACTTTCTTTTTTGTCTTGCCTACAGAGGCATACAGGGGCTCTCCAGTTACAGCACTAGCCAGCATGTCGGCCCTGAAAATGAGGTTCTTCCGCGGGTTGTAGTTGAGCCTCAATCTCCGATCTTACCGCATAGCCTTTCACGCTGGAACCTGTGCCCCCAGAGCCTGGGAAACTAAACATGACGCCTTTAATCTACAAACTTCGAAGTACACAGTCCGGGATCCTCAACCGCGCACCTTCAAGCGTGCACCGACGCCGCGAGCGTCGAAGTCCATGCGACCTCACCCTTTCGAGCCTCTCGGGGTCCCAGGGCCTCGGGTTGGGGCCTAAATGCCATGCTTCGCCTAGGGCCTTGGATTTGGGTGTCTTTATTCTGCTGTTTGTACCCGTGTTTTCGGTGCAGGTCGTGGGATGACTTGATATCTCGAACCCTCTACAGCAGCCGCGAAGCTCAGCATTCAGCTTCTTCTTGCGAGTCTCGGGGTCCTGAAGCACACTTCTGGGATTCAGGAAAGCTAGCTCGATGCTTTTAAGGCTCCGCACGGAAGGGTCGCTCAACGCTGTACAGCGCAATTTGTCCCTGAGACTTGGGCCGTAGCCATTTTGGCTCAAGTTATAGAGCTGTGATGCCCAAGTCGGGAACGCTCGAAAGTAGGAGCTTGCAATGTCGAACCGCAGTTATGTGGTTTGCTCTCATTGTCATTCTTGGTTGTTCGCTGATCGGTTGCCCACACATCCGTACTGTCAATGTGGCCAACCCTTCATGGGCGGCAAGCGGCTTGGATGGCATCAGAGGGGCAACCATCGACAGCGGGATAGGCAAGCGCGGCGCGGTAGACACGACCTCCACCTACAGTCAGATTGGAGCCACGGGGAAGAAGCATGGCAGGATCATGGTAGATGGGGTTGGGCTGGTCGGAGGGCAGATGAAGTTAAGCAGGCGTTGGCACCTTTGCAGCAACTGCTGCCGCAGCAGGGGGGAGCCCAAAAATGACTGCCAAGACCCTGACTTGGCCCTTGCCCGAGCCTTTAAGACCCAAGCAGGAGTGCTGCGGGCACTCGGCCAACGAAAGCTGCAAGGGGAACACCGGGTTACCCAGGCCAGAACCATGAGCGGCAGCTACACCAGCTCCAGGAGGAGTTGGTGCAGGCGCAGGTGGAAATGGACCCGTTGGCAAAGCAGTACTCGGACCAGATTGTCACCAGACAGCTGGAACCGTATGGAGCAGGTCCAATGGAGGACGAAGGCGACATGGGCATTGACAGTGAGATGCAGGAAAACATCAAAGCGTTGCAAGGAGCCTTGCAGACTGACGAGCAGAAGCAGATGCTTGAGTCCTTGCTACGGAAGTGTGCCCACGCTGACTTGCAGCACAAGCGAAGGAAGGCTCAGACGGTGCCACGGGCCAACTGCGACCCAGATGCATATGAGGATTTGGCAGGGCTGCGGTTTGGGAAGCAAAGGGCCCGATCTTGAGGACATCATGCGGTGCCAGATTTCTCCTTCCAAGTTTTGGTTGCAGGTATCGCTAGCGTGGCAGTTTGGGCGTGGCTTGCTAGGTGTGGCCTGTAGACAGGACATACAGGACTTGTGCATGCAACTGTTGATGGAGCCATCACTGGCCTTGTTGGAGCAGCTGCGGGCGGCGTGCCATGTACAACCTAGCAGCGCGGCGCAATGTCAGCACAACTCAGCTGTGGAGATCTGTGGAGCAGCTGCAGTCGCGTGGCATTTTGACAGCCGCGGGCACTGACCGGAACGGTGACCTCGCTGATCCAGTGAACAGCTGTAGTGAGGCCGCCAGAGATCTGACCCTTTTGTTTGCGAACATAACGAGTTGGAGCAGTGCTGCGCAGACTTTCTTGTTGGCACCAGACGTACAGTGCCTCTTGGTTGCTGAGCACCACCAAGTCGGCAGTAATCTCGACCTTCTGAAACAGCAGTGTGTTGAGTCGGGATGGAAAGGTAGCTACTCACCAGCTGCACCTAGTGAAGCTGGTGGGACTAGGGCTGGCGTCTTTGCGGTTGCCCGGAAGCACTTAAATCCGGTTGATGAGTTTCAGGGGGTGCACCCGAGATGGAACAGCATCTTCATCCGGAGGAAAGGGTGCGACCTGTTGCTGCTTGTGGCCTACTTCAAAGATGGCGGCTTGTACCAAGAAGAAAACTACGAACTCATGCGTGAATTGCTTGCGGCGGTGCACAGCGTGACATGCCCGTGGGTGATAGCCGCTGATTTCAACCTGGCCCCACAGGTTTTGATTGAATCCGGCTTTGCTCGCAAATTGCAGGGCGTTATCGTTGACGTGAAAATGCCAACCATAGCCACTGGAAGTGAGTTGGATTACTTGATTGCGAGCAAGAGTTTGCAGGATTGTGTTGAAGTTGTTGTTGATCACATGGTGCTTTTTCGGCCGCACTATGGCCTACGCGTGACACTCACGGGTGGATGGCAGCAGGCCATGGTGCCTGCCCTCAACAGCATTGATCCTGTCCCTGGTGCATTTGGCCCCAGAAGGCCCTGGGAACATTTTGGAACCACCGATGGAAGCTTTCAGATTCTTGGGTGTTTGGCCAAAACGAGCGAGCAACAAAGTATCACTGAAGAGTTTGCGAGGTGGTCAAGACAGGCCGAGGCCTACTTGTTGGACGTGGCTGTTGAACCTGTGGCAAGAGGGCGTGGTACGTTCCTTGCATATGGGACCAGACCGCATCTGGAAGCCAAGCCTGCCCATAACAAATGGGATTCGAGTGACCTTAACTATTGGTGTGGCTTGAGGCGCTTGGTTGGAGACTTGATGCTCCTACATAGGCCGGTACCGCTGAGACTCCAGCGGAGGCTTCACAAAGTCCTGGAAGAGCAAGCCGCTCTTCTGTCCAAGTATTGGTGGCCTGAGTTTGATGCATGGTGTGCAGTTCAGAACATGCGACACATGCTATTGAGTTTTCAGCGGGCTGTCTGTCTTTATGGTGCCAAAACAATGGAATGCTTGCAGGACTTCGTTGGTCTTTTGAATGGGAAGAGACGTGCTTTCTACAGGCAGAAGTTTGCCGACAGTTTGATCACGCCGAAACAGATGCACACGTACTTGAGGAAAGAGCAGGAAACATATGTGCGACCCTTTCAAAACGTTGTTGTCGAGCACAGGCCGGCAGAGAGACGGAAGTACTGGGTCCAGATTTGGGGTGATGCCCAGGAAGGTGTTAGGTATCAGGAGTGGCCTGAATGGGAACAACTGACTGAGCTTGGACGCTGTCAGCTTGCCCAAGAGAAGGCCATTTCGTCCGCGCAGATGCAGCATCTGCTGACACAATACCCTTCCAAGAAAGGGGGCCTGGATGGGTGGTCTGTTGGTGAACTCAAAGCCCTTCCCAAAGAGTCGTTATCTGCGTGGGCGTACTTTTACCGCAAAGTGCAACAAGATTTCCAATGGCCGGTTCCTTTGATGGTGGTAGGATATGTGCTCCTACCAAAGAATGCTGAATCCGAACGTCCGATTGCCCTCACGTCCCTCTGGTATCGCGTGTTGATCAAGAGTCGATTGCATTTGTTGGAAGCTTGGCTGAAACAGGTGGCTCCCTTATGCCCGTGGGACAGGGCAGTTGCTGGCTCGACAGTTTTCTGTTCCAGTATGTCGAGAATGCTTAGAGCGGAGATTTTGCCGCATGCGCAGCTGTATCAAGTGAGTGTGCTTGTTGATCTGAAGCATTGTTATGACCAGACGAACATTCAGATACTTTTGCGTGCTGCTCTTAAGAGGAAGTATCCGCCGGGTTTACTGGCGCTTGCGGTCCCTGTGCACTGCGGCGTTCGCGTCCTTATGGCTGAAAATATGCATTCCCAGTTTATACAACCCTTGAAAGGCATTTTGGCCGGTTGCAGCCTCTCAGTGAGTTTGGCCAAGCTGTACTTGTGGGATATGATGGAGGCTTTCCAGGTTTCGGCGGGGTTGGTTGCTTCGGATACTTGGGTGGATGATCTGTCCTTTGATTTGGTTGACCACAACCCTGAAAGACTTGCGCAGCGTGCTGTGGCACTCTACGAAAATCTTGCCGATCATGTTGCTAACATTGAGTTGCAAATTTCAGTAAAGAAGTCCGGCTTTTAGGCATCCCATGTCGCTGTTGCTACCCCTCTGAAGCGACTTGTGCAGGCTGCTCAGCACAAGACTGGGGTTGAGTACCCCAAAGTCTGCACTGCGTTGAAGGATATAGGAGTTCTGACCACGCTTGCTAGGTGCAGACGTGTTGGCGTGCAGCGTGCTAGAACAAATAAAGGCTTGCAAAGGGCTTCAAGATTAAATGTGATTCCGCGTGGTAAGAGGAAGCAATTGGTGAAGGGCAATGTCATGCCCACTGCGACTTGGGGTCACCAGGTGTCGGATTGGCAGCACCGTCGCTTACGCAAAGAAATTCGCGTCGCTTGCGCAAAGATTTGCCCAGTCGCTTGCGCAAAGACGGGTGTCGAATCCATTGTAAAAAACATAGGAACGTGCACTTCGGTCTTTTTCGGAAATGGCTTCAACAAGCTTGGAAATGTGTCGAATCCATTGTAAAAACCATACGAAAGTCCACTTCGCAAGTTAGCCGAAATTGACGGCATTTGCGTGCGAAAGTGCCGAATCCATTGTAAAAACCATAGGAAAGTGCACTTGCCCAGTTGGCAAGTGCTGGCCGCAAAGTGCGTTTTGAGCTGTATTAGGAAACATCTGACAGACCATCGAAAATGCACTTTTGGAGTCTCGAAAAGAATGTTTTCGTTGGTTTCCGGAGAAGCGTTTTCAGAGCATGCTTCGGGGGCCGATAACGTCCGTGTTTGACGCGTGCAACAAGGGCACTCTCAGTGGAACCGTTGAAAACGCACTTTTGGAGGCTCGAAAAGCACGTTTTGGTCGGTCCTGCGGGGGTGGGTGGGGTGGGGTGGGGGGGTGGGGTCGGGGCTAATAACGTCCGTGTTTGACGCGTGCAGCAAGGGCACACTCAGTGGAACCATTGAAAACGCACTTTTGGAGGCTGGAAAAGCACGTTTTGGTCGGTCCTGGAAGGGGTGGGGCTGGGGGGGTGGGGTGGGGGGTGGGGCTAATAACGTCCGTGTTTGACGCGTGCAGCAAGAGCAAGCTCGAGACGCACGTTCTGGTTGGTCCTGGGGGCGGGTGGGGGGGTGGGGGGGGGGGTGGGGGCTAATAACGTCTGTGTTTGACGCGTGCAGCAAGAGCGCTCAGTGGCTCGAAAAGCACGTTTTGGTTGGTCCTGGGTGGGGTGGGGCTGGGGGGGCGGGGTGGGGGGGTGGGGTTGGGGCTGGCTTCCTGGCTGGGGTGGGGTGGGGGGGCTCGGGGCCAAGAACGTCAGGTTTGGTTTCATTGCTTCCACGGAAAACGTATTCTTGGAGGCTCGAAACGCACGTTCCGCTTAATTCTCGGGGGGGGGTGGGGGAGTGGGGCTGGGCGCTATCGTCCGTGTTTGGTGCGTGGAGTAAGAGAAGTCG